AACAATCAGAAAGAATTTCTGATTGTTACGACAAGATTCGAGATTTTACAACTGGAACTAGAATTATATATTATAAGTATTACATTATTTATTACATTATAAGGATTTGTTACTATCTTTCAGTTTGATTTTGGAGTACTAGGTACGTTCCTGCTGTAATTTTAATCTCAGCGCAATGTAGTTCAATTATTGTGTCAGTCGACACAAGTCGGGTGAATATGCTGTTTTATGACGTCGTGTTGTTTCGTGTGGTGAAGTGGAACAAAATAATACGTGTAATGGCTGATAAGAAAACGTCTTTTCTTTTCACCGACAATATAATTTTGCGAAAAATGTATAAAAATTTTGAAAGTTATGGCAATAGGATTAATTTGAATTACTCTATGTTACATATTGCTTTGTAAGTAGGTACCTCATACAAGATTATGGATGTATGATCCCAGTCAGAAATATTTCCTCAAAGAAACATCGTTTCGATGTCGAAAATAAAAGTCGAAAAAATTTTCGAAATTGTTATTGATTTCGATAGATTTTTTGCTCCAATTTCGATTTTTGGGATGTTTGTTCATCACTAACGCGACAGCAGTTTGATAAAACGTAGATAATTTTTCCAACTTGTAGCTAAGCCCTAAGCAAATGCTGATAAAAGAGAAATAGGTAATTTACAACCCATCCCCTCTTAGAAACGAAACTCTCCAGTGGGCGACCATGAATCTGAAACCCTTTAGGAAGGTGATGCATTATCACCAATAAGAATAAAAGCGAATCAAAACTGACACAACGGCAGAGCTAATTTGAGGGCAATTTCCCAATGACCAGTCAAAACTGTTATCATATCAAAATCCTGCGAATCTGATTCCCCAATTTCCCAATTAGACACATCCTACCACAGAACCTCCTTCCAAAGGAGTCCTATATAAACCGTGATACAGCGAGATTCGCTCTCTTATTTTTGTCATTTATTTTGTCATACTCTCTTATTTTGTCAGTCATTTATTCGTCTTATATTTTGTTATATTTGTCAGCATACGGTTTCGTCATGTATACAAGGTTTCATACGGCTTTCGTTAAATAGTTTCCGCTTTATAAAAATCTTAGAGTCTGTGCGCGTCTTTTAACCGAATGAAGAACATCACCATCTCATTGGGCTCCGATGCGAACATTCCGATAGCAGAAAATTGTAAGACTCATGGATTATTATTTATCCCCGTAATTAAACTAATTCGCTAAAGAGTAAATAATTCTCTAGTTCAAATAATGTTCTATTGAACAATCAAAATGTTATCAAAATTAACGGAATAGACGGAATAGCAAATTTTCACGCTCGCCCTATGTCTTAATTTGCTAGTGGTAGTATTTCATTTTTCCGAGACGAGACGAGATTTGAATTGATCTCGATC